TGATGAAATATCTTGTCAGCAGTAACTGAAATGTGTACTTTTCTTTATTACTTAAAAGTGCAATGGATTCACTAATACTGAAATCAGATATGGCCAAGGCTGAATGATGACGGGAAAGTGAAACATTTCTTAGAGGACTATTGTGACACTAGCTTCTTCCCTTTTTATTCATCAAAGAACGATTGTAAGTGTAGTAACAATTATACAGTGGGTTGGTTTTCTGAAAAATGTGTCTGACTGCTTTGTAGACACTTTCAGGTGAGTTACAATTACTCGACACTAGCAATAAATGATCTACAACAGGCTTTCACATTTTTAATGTAGAACAAATATAAAATATCTGGAAAATTCACTAATTAGGTAAAATTACCCTCTCTCTCTCAACCACAGTATCCCTATGAGTTTTGGGAGGTTTGCTTTGTTTACTAGTGTGTGATAGACAAGAACTTTTATTACCCTCTGAGAATTTGAAACTGTATTGAGATTGGAGTGTGCAAGGGGAAAAATGACATCACCACATTTTTATTTCTCTTGAGAAGCCAGTGAGTAATCTGGGTGTGTCGGTTTTGCTGGAGTTTTGATCTAAGAGCATTTTCTTCTTTGAGATTCTTATTCCAAATATGATAAGTTATTGCTTAGATAATTTTTCTGTAATAAACTATAAAATCAGAGATATGAAATAAAAACTGTCATATCAATGTCTTTGATTTTGATCCAGCAGCTAAACTGGGGTTTAAGAGATACGATTTTGTATTGCTTTGCCTACTCTTCTGTCTTCCTGCCTTCTTTCCTCTCCCCACTCCTATGATTTTAGGCTAAAGGGGAAGAAAGTGAGAGAAAAAACCGACCTAGGCATTGTACAAACCACATCTTATTTAATCCATACAGCTCTCCATGAGAGCTGCTATTATTGTCCTATTTTCCTGATATGAACACTGAGACACAGAGATTGTAAGTGTGGAGCCTGATTTCAACCCAGTTCTATTTAATACCCAAATGTTCACTCTTTTCAAACATAGAATGCGCTCAGTAAATATTTGTTCACTTCTGATTCCTCATTCCCACACCACAGAGGACATGGCTGAGTTAGACACAAAACTCAGGGCCTCCTCAGACACTTTGGCACCAGGCTTAACAAAAGGGAAAAGAAGAACTTCTGATTTTAGGAGAGAAGAAAGGAAGGGGGGAAGGAAAACAGAAAAGAAGAAAAGCAAAATAGAGATGAGGCCAAGAAAAGAAAAAGGGAGAATATGTAGAGATTGGGAAAGGAAGAATTAAATAAGTCCTGTATGGAATGCCTGCTACACTTGGGTTATTTTGTTTCCTAGTTTTTTCACTGGATTTCCCCCCAATACTGAATATTTTGTTCGAGAATTTTTACCATTTTGAAATTTAAAGAATTCAGACAAGATGAGTTAGCCATGGAAAGGAGTGAAAAAAAGAGGCTCAAATTACTTGCGTTCACCAACATTTTCTGACCCCTTCTTCTTCCCCTCCCTCTTTAATTTGTTCTCCATCTCTTACCCATACCCTCTAACTGTATTCAAGTCAGTACTTATTGTGTACCTACTCTACCCAAGATATTGTGGGGATGCAATATAAAGAGAGGCAATAAGATACGCACACAAATAATTTGATACAAAAAGTAATAGTATAGTTGAATAGAGATAGAATGTACTGTGAGTATTGTTAGGGATCCCTTTCTATCAAAGAGGATAAGGATCTAATAAGCTAATTCGCAATGAGGTTCTGGTGACAAAGAGTGGCAGGTGGGGGAAAAAGATATTGATAGGGGCACTGAAGTAAGTAGAAGTTTTTATGCCTCCATTTCAAATCTTAGTTCTCATAAAACATATTTCAGGCCAAGCTGGTGGCCAACCCTGAGTCCTAAGAATTGACTTTATTTTATATTCTTATTGGTTATTGCTAGGGTAGGAAAATTAATAATTTTTGTGTTGTCTATCTTGTCTTATTCCAGCACCTAGGACTTCCACTACTATGTTGAATAGGACTGGTGAGAGGACATTATTGCCTTGTCCTAATCTTTGGGGAAAAACATCTGGTTTCTCACCATTAAGTATGATGTTACATGTAGATTTTTGTAAATGTTGTTTATCAAGTTGAGGAAGTTTCCCTATTCCTATTTTGCTGAGAGTTGTTGTTGTTTTAATTATAAATCTATTGGATTTTGTCTAATGCTTTTTCTGCCTCTATTGATATGGTTATGTGATTTTCCCCCCCTTTGGCTTGTTGGTGTACTGGCTTATACTGAATTGTGTGGATTTTTAAAAATGTGTTTTTACTTAGGTAAAATTTCCAAATGGTGAAATACACAAATGTTAAGTTTGCAATTAAATGAATTTTATAAACGGATAGTCATGAAATTAACACTCCAATCAAAATATAGGACATTTTCTTTATCTCAGAATCATTCCCTTGTGTTCTGATTAATCTCTACTGGCAACCAGTATTCTTATTTCTATCACTTGAACTTCATAGGGATAATAGTGTTTGGTATCTGAATTTTGTTGTTCAACATAATGTTTTTAGATTCAGTCACTAGTCTCTACTAGTCTTTAGGTGACTTTTGGGTAGATATATATTTAACTTTTATTTCTCTTGAGTAAATTGCTAGGAGTGGAATTGGGTAGGTATATATTTAACTTTTTAAGAAATTATTTTATTTTGTCATTTTAATTCCTGTATTGGCTTTTTAGCTCTATCTCTTTATATCACTTTTTAAATGTTTGCTCTAGGCATTACAATATATATCATTAATTTATCACAGTCTGCTTAGAAGTATCAATTCACATAAAAAGAATCTTACAGAGTTCATTTATTCATCTATTAAGCTGTAGTTATATATTTTACATCTACTTATGTAATAATTTTTACAATGTAATTTCATTATTTTTGCTTTAAATTATCAGTTATCTTTCACAAAAATTGAGAGGAAAAAAATTACCTTTTTTTTGCACTTGCATATTAACCATTTCAGGCACTCTTTATTCCTTCCTGTTGATTCACACTACATCTGATATTATTTTCTTCCAATCTGAAGAACTTCTGTTAGCATCTTATATAGTTCCGGTCTTCTGGCAATGGGTTCTTTAAGGTTTTCTTTATCTGAGAATGTTTTTAGTTCTTTCTCGGTTTTAAAGCCTATTTCACTGGATATCAAATTTTGAAGTGAGAGGTATTTTTTTGTTTTGTTTTCCCCAACACTTAGAAAATGTTACAACATTATTTTCTGGCCTCCCCTCTTTTTACTGTTCTTTACTGTTCTTACTTCTGTAAGTTTATATTTTTCACTAAATTTGTAAAATTACTGACCATTATTACTTCAAATATTTCTCTGTCCCACTCTTTTACTAATCCCCGTGGGAATTTAATTTCACTAATATTATTCTTTTAGATATTGTCCCACATATAACTGAGCCTCTATTATTTTTTTCTGCTTTTTTTGGTGTGTCTTTCTTCACACCGAATAATTTCTATTGATTCATCTGTACATATATTAACCCTTTCTTCTGGAGTCTATTAAGTACACCTAGTAAAATTTTCATTTTAGATATATACTTTTCTGTTCTGAAATTTCGGCTTGATTGTTTTTTATAGTTTATAGTTTTCTGCTGAAAATTTCCATCTTTCACTCATTATATTCACTTTTCCCTTTGCATCCTTAAATATATTTATGACAGCTGCTTTAAAATCATCATCTATAATTCAACAACTGGGTCATTTAATTTCATTTTCTATTAATTTTTTAAAATTATTATTATAGATCACATTTCCTGCTTAGTTGCTTGCTTAGTAACTTCTTTAAAACTCTGTGCTGGACTTGTGGATTATATGTTGTCAGAGAAACTGCATTATTTTATCATCCTTTAAAGGATGATAAAAAAATAAAGGATGTTGAATTTTGTTGTAGTGGGCAGTTAAATTACTCACAGAACTTTTAGTCCTGTCAGGATTGGTTTTACTCTCAGTTACAGTAGGTCTGTTTCCATTTTGAAATAAGCCTTAGGGCATGACTCTTATTCTAGGATGTCCTCCTTATGTCTAAGGTAGCTAAACAATTTCATTACCAAGTGAAGTCTCTTAACACTGGATGGGCCAGAAACCAAATATCTCCAAGTACTTCAATTCACACAGTCCCACAGCAGGTTATTCTAAACTTTGTAGAGTCACTCCTTGCATATGTGCTTCCAAGTTGTTTGCCAAGGACTCATGATAAATTCCCATTTAAACTTCTGTCTTCTCTCATGCCCCAGCCATCTTTCTTCTCCAGTATTCTGTCCTACATATTTCAACTTCTCAGAGGTCTGAAAACGAACCTCTGCTATCAGTTCGTTGACACCACTGCCATGCTTGGGTTCCCCACTTCCTCATCTCAAAACAGAAAGCCAGTGAACTTGATCATTGAGTTCATTGTGTATATTTTCTTTGTCTCAAACGTCACAGTGTTGTGCTGTATGTTGTTTGATGTCTGAAAACAGTTACTTCCTCTTTTTTCTAGTTTTATTGTTGTTTTTGGCAAAAAGGCAAATCTGGTACCATTTACTCTATCATGGCTTTTTAAAAGTTGTTGTTTTCCATAATTTCTGTTGTTTATGCATGATTGTCAAGAAGTCATCTGTTCAGATTTAAAATTTTTTCCAATTTGAGGGTTTATGTGTGTGAGTACATGTTATATGTGATAAATTCTTGTAAACACTACATAGGTGTTTGAAAAGTATTTGTATTCTCTGTGCATCAAATAAAAGGTCCAAATTTGTCTACTCGAACTTCTAAATTCTAAATCTAAATGAAGAAATTGTATATTTTACATTCTTATTTATTATTTTCTTGTAACAGCTTTATTGAGATACAATTCACAAACCATATAATTCACCCATTTAAAGTATATAATTCAATGGGATTTTAGTATATTCACCGAGTTGTGCAACCATCACCACAGTTTTAAAACATTTTCATCATTTCCAAAATAAATCTCTTACCTCTTAGCCATCGTTCCTCAATCTTCTCATTATCCCAGCTCTAGGAAACCAGCAATCTGCTTTCCATCTTGATAGATTTGCCCTATTTTGGACTTTTCATATAAATGGAACTATATGTGATTTTTTATGACTGGCTTCTTCAATTAGCATAATGGTTTCAAGATTAATCCATGTTGTAGTTTGAATCAGTGCTTCATTCCTTTTTATGGTTGAATAATTCCATTGTGTCGATACTACATTTTGTTTAATCATTCATCAGTTAATGCACATTTGGGTTGTTTCCAACTTTCGGCTATTATGAATAATGCCGTCATGAGCTTCATGCACAAGTCTTTGTGTGGACATGTTTCCATTTCTCTTGGGTATATTCTGACAGTGGACTTGATGAGTCATATGATAATGCTATGTTTAACATTTTAAGAAATTGCCAGACTTTTCCCACAGTGGCTGCACCATTTTACATTCTCAACGTGGTGTATATGATTTTCAGTTTTTCCACATCTTTGCCAATACTTGTCATCTGTGGTTTTGATTATAGCCATCTTAGTGTGTGTGAAATAGTCTTATTTATTTTTGACTGTTTGAGTTGTTAATTTGTAAAGTAGTCCTCTTAAGTTCTCCTATCATGTCTCAATAAATTATAGCTCTTTCCGAAAGAGCTATACTCCAGGCATTATACTAAGTATTGCGTGTAGAGTAGTAAACATGGTCCTTTTCTACACAGTGCTGACAATTAACAAGTCAACAAAATTTATGATTTAATAGTAAAAAGGAAACATACGTTAAAATGGTGGAAGATAAACCGTGTGAGTTCTCAAAGGAGTAGCAGGATCCTCATTATTTGGGAACTCTTAGAAATGCAAATTCTCAGGCCCTAGCTCAGATTTATTAAGTCAGAATCTATGGGGGTGGGACCCAGAAATCCATACTTTACAAACCCTTCAAATGATTCTGATGTTTATTAAATTTGAGAACTACTGTTTTAAAACATTCTAATGCCCGAGCCCTTCCCTCCAAAGATTCTGATTTAATTGATCTAGAGTGATGCTGGAGAAAATATTTTTTGAAAAGAATCCCATGATTCTAATATGCAGTTAGAGTTGAGAAATAGTGGGCCAGATAAGGCAAGGTTTTGAGAACCATTGTCAGGAGTATGGATTTTATTCTAAATGCAATGGAAGTCTTTAAAAAGGTTTAAGCAGATAAATTCCATGATCTGATTTGTGTTTTAAAAAGATGTCTTAAACAAAACAACAAAACAACAACAACAAAAAAAACAACAACAAAAAAACAGTGTCTCCAGCCAAAGGATGGAAACAACCCAAATATCCATCAGCTGATGAATGTTTAAACGAAAGTGGTATACAATTATACAAATGAATGAGAAAATTTTCTGTACATTATATAGAGTTATCTCTAGGATACATTTTAAATGAAAAAAAATAAAATGCAGAGCACTGTTTGTAGTGGTCTATCTTTGTGTAAGAGAGGCATACATATGTTTATATTTTCAAAGCAGTGGAAGTAAGTATAAATCAAAATCTAATAAAATTGTTTCTGTGGGAAAACAAGATGGGAGGGCAAGGCAGGGATAAGTAAGACTTTTGTCAAGTTACTTTGTTATATCGTTTTGACTTTGGAACCATGTAAATATTTTATATATAAAAATTGAATTAAAAAAATAAAATAAATCTAAAAAATGGAAAACAAATGGAAACAAATGGCCATAACTTCATATCCAGTTGATGCTAAACCACATAAAGATAATCATTACTAGAAGTGACTTTAATGTGCAATATTTTGAGTTTACATCCCTATCTGGGTATATCCTAAGAACAAAAACCTACAAAGAAATATTAAATTGCATTCAGTAGTTTTATTGTTTTAAGTAAGACTAGTATTGCTATTTTTAAACTATTATAGGTCTATCATAGGGTAAAGAAAATAAGTAATTATGTTATTGTTAAAAAACCAAGATTTTCAGTTTAAGAGAAATGAGACACATATAAAACCAGAGAAGTTAAGTAAACACCCTGTATTCTTAACTTTGAAATGGAAATACCAATATAATTTGATTTTTTTCTCTCCTAACTCTGAAAGACCTAAACACAATAACAGTGCCATAGCAATTGCACCCCTAGTATTTAAATTGTGGATTTTCAACTAAAAGGAACTTAGGTTCCTTGGGAAAATGGCTGATTGCAGATTTGGAGCAAGAAATGTATTAAGATAAACTTGGAAAATCTCACTGTGCCAGAGAACAAGCAAGCTATACAAGACTAATGGAAAAAGTCTAGACGTCATTAAAAGAACAATTGTTGGTTATATCATGATAACCAACAATGGATGAAAGTTCTTTACGGAAGAAGCTCACCTAATAAATGGAGAAGGAATGATAGAAATAGCAAATAACTGGTTTGCAACCATAGTGGGCCTAAGCAACATGTTTGTCAATGAATGTTAAAGCTGTAAAGCAAAGAGTTAATTTTGTAATAGAAGGAGGAATTTTGTAATAGAAGCATCAGGCTGATGCCACTTAATAAACCTGCTGATCACTTTGGCACCCATAAAAGAAGTGAGCAGACATTACAGGTCTCATGATATGATATAATAGGAAATATACGCATTACCTGAAATATTCTTATTTATGATAGCAATTCTTAATCTAATCAAGCCCCTTTATCAGTTTACCTCCTTCCAACACATACACACATGTTAACTTAGACTAAGAGGGAAAAGTCAGCCAAATCTAAAATGTTAGTCAAATCTACAGAAGAAATCTATAAGACAAATAACTTTGTTTCTTCAAAAATCTATGACATGAAGTGCAATATATTCGTACAATGGAATATTATTCATCAGTAAAAAGTAATTACTGCTACAACATTGATGAGCCTTGAAAACATTATGCTAAAGTGAAAGAAGCCAGACACAATAGACTAAATATTGTATGATTCCATTTATATGATATGTTCAGAATAGGCAAATTTATGGAGACAGAAAATTATTTGTGGTTGCTTACAGCTGGGGTAGGTGACAGGATTGGGAGATCATGATTAAGGGGTACAAAATCTGGCCCTTCATCACAGAAAGTTTGAGAAGCCTGATCTAGATAATGGGAACGTTCTCAATTTGGTAAATAAGTTCACTTACCCTATTTGTATGTACCATGGCCATATTTTTCTCATCTATTATGTAGGCTGAGGATTTCTAATCCTTTTCCCATGAATTAAAGCCTTAAAGTAAAAATTGTTATGGCCTAAAAGTTACTGGAGTTTGGTGCCTTCAACAGCATTATGTGATGAATTGCCTCAGAGGTACAATTTTCCTTCTGAAAAGCTATTAATGCACCTTCTTGAAGATTTCTGAGTTGGACTCTTCAGACCTGACTTGTCATTGTCTTACCATCACTTTTAGTTTTTGCTATCAGCCTTGGAGCTCCAACTCTTGAGCTCATCCATTTCTGCAATCACTTTTTCCATTTTGCTTTCCTATTTCTCTTCCAAGGTTACCTGGAATTGGCCCAGATTTTTCAGTTTGTTTCAATCTTGATCCATGGAATCTTCAACTAATACCTTTTCCCTTTGGGGACACTGCTTCATTGTCTTTTTCTAAACCACAACATAGCTCCTTGTTCTCTCATCTTGTTCCGTGCAGCTACAAAATAATATTTGTTAATATTTATTGCAAAATTCCTATGTGCAAAGTTTTATGCTTCTTACTTGATACATATTATCTCATTCAGAGGTAGGTTTCTTATCTTCATAGGTCACACAGCATCATACAGTTTGTAAATAATAGAGTCAGGATTTGAACATAGATAGGTGAACTCAAACCCAGAGAGCCTTAAAGCCCACTATTAAGTCCTTTCCATTCAGGTTTGGAAAAGACATCCTGTTTTTATGAAAAAGTAAGGTTATACTCTCTGTGCTATTAATACCTTTACAAAAACATCTAATAATTGTTCTTTTCCTTGGAAAGGTGGGAATAGTATAGGTCTCTTTGGCCTCAGAAGCAAAAGGGCTACAAACTTTCAGCTGAATTTTTTAAGAAATGAAGAAGCAGATTTTTTTTTTGAGGTTATAAGTGATACCTTTGAGGCCCCATCTTAAACATACTCTGCCTCAGCTTTGAGAGTACTTTCTGTAGATTATCCCCATCACTTGGAAGACTTACATGTAACTAATACATAAAATGTTAAATAATCAGCCTTTGTATTGATCCCTAGGATATAGCCAGTATTAAAACTTCCTCATTTTCTATAGTAAAAGAACCATTTAGCTTACTTATTTTATGTTTTCTATCAGTTCTTTGTCCTTGATATAACTTGCTTGGGAATCCTAAGTGCAGTTTTTTAAAAAAATAGCTTTTGATAGAGAATCTTATTAAAGGTTAATGAAAACATAAATAAATGTTTATTTGTTATTTTTAATTTATTTTATTTGATAAGATGACTTTTTTGTATTGCTTTGGCAGAAGATTAATGACATCAGATTTCTATTGCTGTTTAACATTTATTCCTGTGAATTGCCAGAGGCTTTAAAATTTTAAAGTTCTTTCATCTGGGGGAAGGGGATGTTGAATTTTCGATATTTCTTCAGATATTACCACCCCCTTCCAACATGACACACAATGCTTTACATGTCTATTAGATAGCAAAAATGTAGAAATCCAAAGAAGTAAAATAGCAAGGGAAAGAATGAAAGCTATTCTTAGTTAATTTTCCACTAAGTTATCATGGACTGTATCTGTCCCTTGGCCTTATCTAACACCATATGGCTTCCCTGTTGCAAAGGGAAGAGTCAAGGTAATTTTGGATTCAGTTAGCCAAAGAAATTAGTTTGAGCCTAATGTATATATACATTATCCAGACTTCTGAACTCCTTTCTTATACCAATTTGGTAAGTCAAAGAGAAAATCATCTAGGATCTAAGTGTATAGGGAAAAATAAACGCTGAAAGACCAGTGAAGTATTGGGAGATACTTCAATCTGGGAAGCACAATAAGTTCCAAATGAAGTTGGCCTTGAGAGATTAAACTAGGAGAAATAAAATGATCTTCAGATAAGTCATCCTAAAAAACTAGCCATTTAAAATTTTTT